AGTTCTGCTGACTGGGCACCAGTCTGCCTGTCAATCTCAAGATCTGCTTTGCCCTCTTTTGTGAGCAAAACCTTGATGTACTTGACTTCCTCTTTGGGACTCATTCTTCGCCTTGAGAGCAATCTACTGTTTTCATGCAGAGAACCATGGCCTTGAGCTTGGATGTGTTGACTTTCATCCCAGCTGCTTTGCTTTCAATTTCAGGCTGCCTCGGTACCTAAAGACAAAAACAGGAACACATCATCTGCAAAAGACAGAGACGGAAATCTGACGCCCGAAAACTGGTTGTAACTCATGAGAATCACAGACTAAACTAGTGTAGGACAACATGAACTGAGAAAAAAAAGTCAAATAGACAATAATTCTGGTGCCATCGAGCAAGAGTGACAACAAACACCCTAAACTCACACATCCTGGTTTAAAACACAGGAAGACTTTCCAACATATCCTTTACAACACAGCCCAAAGCTACATGCATGGCTATATATATCTGTCTTACTTTATTTTGGAAAAGTAGCCCTTTAAGCGCACACCCTGCTTGCAGACAGCCACACTCACACCCCAAGTGATGACATTTCTCAGAGCTGAATAGAAAGCCATTTACTCTGAAAGAGGAGTGCTACACAAAGGCAACAACATAAAGAGACCAGCACACAGACATGAGCGGGGGGTCTCTAAACATCGTGGAGAATAAAATGCATTAAAGAAAATAACTTTGAAATTCAAAAAGCAAGAGTTTATAGATAAACAAGCATCGGTTCTATCAGATTATCATGGTCTGTGTTTGAGATTAGGCAGTGTGTTTCTTTGTTGTTCAAAGTAAACAGATCAAAAGCAACAAGAATCAAAAATCAGATTTAGTTTGGTGTGAAGATGCTGCCGACTCACTGCGCTGAGTATTCAACTAATTATAAAAACCTTCATCTGCTGTGAAGGCATCTCAGGAGACCCAAGTGTGTGTGTTTGTGTGTGTTTGTGTGTGTGTGTGTTACAGACAGAAGGGAGGGCAGAGTGGGAACAAGTGAGAGAAAATTACATCTGTTTTGGGTCAGCAAAAATACTTAAGATCCTCATTTAAAGAGGCAGTAATGAAGCCAACAACGTGTAATACCTGCAGTCCACACACAAACACACACACCTGCACGTACAGTATGTAGGCGTTTGACTAATCAGCCCAGCATAGCATTACTTTCAGATTGCATATTATTACTCCTGTGCACAAACACCTGTGCACCACTACCCTCTCATTTCCATCCCCCCCTGCGAAGCTTGAAGTTCCTTTAAGATCACGCAGGACTGTCCCGATATCTTCATGATAACAGTATCAATTATCACAGCATCATGTTGAATCAGCACACACTGTCTCAGTCAACACACAGTGAATGTTAATGAAGATGCAGATCAGCGGTTTCAAAGTGCCAGAGGATCTTATCTGGATCTACAGTAGTGGTGCATGTCGGACTGTGAGGCAGCGCTGCCGCTCGGTGGTTTATAGAGGAGCTGCACACACGAGAGAGCACAAAAGAGAAAGTGAGGAAAAGAAAGAGGGGAGGAAAAGAAGTGGTTTTCTGACTGATTTTGTGCGTCCTCACCCTTGTACTTGGTTTTGTTTGAGAGGTTATTTCAAGGCAGACTTCTTTAAAAATGCTGTTTACAGATGACCTGTCACCAAATTACTGCTGGACTCTGCACTAAAATTCAATTATTTCAACTCTGACCTTCGCTGCTATTGACCTTTAAAAGTGCAAACAACGAGATAACAGTTGTATGTGACTCAGGATCTCAAACAGATGGAGAAGAGTCTCCCTGAACTCCTTAAATCGACAGTGAGGACAGAGTTTGACTGCAAGTGTTTTCAGACAGAAAATTATAATATCAGTCATGAAATAACAATGTTTTGTCCAAAGACAAGTTGGAGTGGGCATCTGTAAGATCATGTTCAATCTGAGTAATTGTTACTTTTCACATTTAATTGGACATTTTCAGTAGATTTTGGCCTCTCTGCCAGAATATAAGGGTCCACTTTTCATCTAATTTATCTCTATCTTCTCAAAGCTTCGCAGCAAATGCACCTTCAGACTCACAACTTTTATCACTGTTGCTCTATTAATACTGATCATACCTTTCCCTCCATAACTTGTGGGTAACTCAGAGATGCACTCTGCTGCCCTTGCCTGGAGGGGGTTCGATCAGGATTCAGCATGCTAACATGGATGCATTCAAAATCTTTGCCTCAGAGTCAAGTATGTACTGAAATAATTTTCTGCAGATTGATTACATCTGCTTATCTCTGGCAATGCTCTTTTTATGCAGAGTTACTTACCTCTGTCAAGGGATTATTAAAGGTTTCTGACCAATAAAAATCAAGTATTTGTAACAGATGGGCGATGAGCAGGACAGCTGGTTGTTTTAATAGAGGCACTAAACTGGCCCCTGCAGGTGTGTGCACATGGCAAATTTAAAATAATGTAAAAGCAGCTGAACACTCCACATATGGGTATAATGTGTGACCTTTTTATTTGATTTAAATAAAATAAAAAAGTGAAAGTATTTTTAGTTACTGCAGACCACTTCTTTCCTCTGTGCTCTTGGTTAAAATGGTACCAGCTATAAAAAACCTACAACTTAGGACACATAAAGGACAAACTGTATGCACCTTGCAGGTGGAGCAGCTCAGGAGAGCTCTATAGAGGCTCTGAGAGGCACTGGAAAATACAGCTGCTTCTCCTTTGAACCTTTCAATTACTCTTTTCATGTCTACATGGCCTAGTTCTGAAGAATGAGAAAAACAAAAAGGATAACTTCACCTTCAGCTAATCCTTCTGAAATGAAAAGTTGCTTTTTATATCCAGGAAAAGAGTCTGGGAACTAAAGAGCTGAGCCACTGTAGCCTCCAGCAGTAAACCACTGTGAAGGGGGTCACATTGTGGGAACTATGGAGGATGTTTGATGTGAGATGCCTGAAGAAACTCAAGTGTTTTCTGCTGCCAGGAAAGAACCAACCAAAGAGGACAGAAGCCTTCCTTCTACTGTCACAAATAATACAAAACTTGAGATTAGGGCAGGATTTAACAGAGATATCCTGTTTCCTTCATCCTAATGTCAAACTGGATGAATCTGACTGAATAACTTGGTCTTGTTTAGACAGTATTATGATTATAGATTAAAATCCAGGTGGATTTACTGTCCTTTTTTTCTGCTGAAACACACTTTTAAGAGCATCGTCTTAATTTCTGGATGAAAAGTGATCTTACTGATGACAAATGAGGCATTACAGGCTGAAATCTCAAGTTTTGTTCTGCATTTCAACAAAATAAACTGCAAGAATTAAAAAGAAAATAATGTTACCATAGTATGTAAAATGTAGGATGACATTGTGAACTGTTGGTAACAGCAGTAAAAGAAATAAATATTGGAATTTACACACAAATACAGGGTTTTCTATCAGACATTGCCCAGAGTTTAACATAGAAACATGCAAAGACTAGATTCATATATGCTTCACACTTTATTAAAGACATGAGCAAATCATAAGGGCTAACTATCATTATAAACCCTCTTATTATCCAATATTGTTGGAGCATCTGGGTCTGAGAAAACTGCACAACTGTGGAGAAAACATCATATTCATACATACATAATTAAATTTATAAGCGAAATGAATAATATGTTGGTGATGTGCCTCAAAATGAAGGGGTTGTTACGCTGTTAAGTGCAGCAAACAAAGCATGTGGCCTTGACTCATTAACTGTGTTTGTTAACAGTGTTTTTTCTTGGTTGCTAATGCACAGTGTGCTACCTGAATCTGTGCCGTCTGTTCTATTAGTGCCAGTAATTAAGGGTAAAACTAGTAAAATTTCTAGCATGTTTGATTATGGACCAATTGCTGGTATGTCTATGTCTATTCAAGAAGTGGTTAGTAATCACAGGCAAATGAACATTGCAATATTCATGTGTTATGCATCCACAGCCTACTATGGAATAAAACAGCTTAAATTGTTTATAAAACTACAAAATGCATGCTTAGTATTTTTATATTTGCACCAGACTGTTCAAGCCTGAAAGAGTGAGTGTTTGGCAGCAGCCCTCTCGGTGACTAATGGGGTCCTTCATAGTGGCGCTCTGTCACTGCCTCTTTAACCTGGATATGGATGGTCTCTCTGGGCAGTCAAAGGTTGTAAGACTTGATGTATGGTGGGGATAGACTTGACTTGTTAATCCTTTAATGTATGCTGATGACTTGTCACTGTACAGTGCTCGTTTACAGCACCTGCTTAGAGCTTGTTCTGGCTATTGTGAGCAGTGAGGCCTCAAATTTAACAGTGTGAAGAGTGTCATAATGATCAGAGTCTTCATCTACTTTCTGATTACGCACTTCATGTGGTGGACAAAGACATATATCTGGGCTATATTTAAAAGAACCACTCATATGATGATGATGATCTGCTGCACCAGTGCTGCAAACTGTCTGCATAAGCTAATCTGCTGGCACATAAGGTTTCAGTGTGCAGAGATATTGTTAGAACAGCCCACTGCGCTCGACTTAACACCACCCATCTGCTGTGCAATTACAGTAAAGCCCAAATAAAAAAGCCTCAGGTGGCAGACAATGATCCATGAGTGCATCACTATTTGTCTTTCAGGTAGTTTTCTCCACACTGACAAAGCCTTAAGTATAAATCCATGTTTTAGTCTTAATTAATCGATTCAGAAAATTAATTCAAAACAAAACAAAACAATAGTTAAGCTTTGTCTCTGTCTGCCAGTTTTTGGAAGCATCAGTGTATTTTAATCCCTGTGAAATTGAGTTCATCATGGTCATTTGAAGTCAGTAGCTGTGCTGTTCAAGCTGCTATGTTTGCTGAGTCCACAAGGGGGCAATAGAGTCTATTATATTATTTCTACCTGCAGTTTGACATAACAGAAGTCTCTTCTTCCCTGATTTTTTTGTGCTTGTTTTCGTCTTACTTTATTTTTCTCTTGATTTAAGAAATCGACACTGCAAACTTTGATGTATTACTGATTTATTTAGGATTAGAAACTTGAAAAACATCCCCAAAATGCCTGTGAAAACATGACATAAACTTACACACACAATAGCAAAAAACATGTAAAGCATTGATAACTCTAAGGCTAACGTGGTAAACCTCTATAAAACCTTTATGATTCATATCCTCGCTGACGTTGGCACCATGCTGGGGGAGTGTGTTCACGTGTTGGTGTGCTGTTTACTTTGTGCTTGTGTGAGGAGAAACCTGAGTAATGAGAAGTTGTTTTTAATACATTTTTAATCTGTGCATTTTGATGCATCTCTGTCTGAGTTTGAGAAGTTGTGATTTCAAAGTGTCCATGATGTTCCGTCCTGGTTCCAAGGACTGAGACAGGTTGTGATGCTTGTCCTGAAAGTATAACTGTAGGAAAGATGGAGGGATGGATGGATGAATGATCTGTAAATCCCTAATGAAAGAGTTAGATCCATGATCACTGGATTGATTAGATAATGATGGATGTTTGTGCGTTTGTGAGGATGCTGGGTCAAATGGGGGCCCTGGTCAGGAGAGTGGGGGCAGGGACTGGGTGCTGGCCGGGCTGTATTTCATCCTGGATGGTGATGGGGGAGGCTGAGTGAGGTGAGGAGAAGAGGGGGATGGACGAATGTGAGCAATTTCTCTCCCTGCCTCGTCGTGCTCTGATCCGTGACCCTCTGAGCGACCCCTGGGCCTTCGTAACAGAGGTGAGGAAGAGGAAATGGGCATGCTTTTGAACTGTGAGGGGGTGTGGAGGGAGGAGGAGGAGGACGGATGGCATTGAGGGATGTACTGAGGACTGGGTGATGGCTGGTGACTTGGTGAGGGGTGAGGGCAAGGCGAGGAATGCTTCCCAGACAATGGTTCACGGGGGCTGTGTGGTTGATTCTGGGCCTGTCTGGGTGACTCAGGCACCTTTGGCGACTTGGGTGTGGTGGGTGTTTTTGGTGATCTTGGCATGGGATGAGAAGAGTGAGAGTCAATGCTGTGAACTGAGAGGGCCTGACTTGGAGCTGCAGAGGGGTCTCCATTGTTGGCTCCAACCTTGTAGAGGAAGACGTCGTACTGAAGAGGTGGTTTGGTCTCTGGGTGTAGCTTGGCATCTTTAGGGAGGAGCACCTCCAGGCCGATGGTGACTCCATCCTGATGTGGAAATATGGTAAGTGGACAAGGATGCAATAATGATAGGGAAAAAAAACAGTGAAATGAAAGTAGACAAGGCATGGATGAAGAATGAGACAATGATCCAATGGGGACGTTTCTTACACCAGGACAAGTGTGTAGGGTTCAGAGGCATCTTCCTTTATTCAAACATGGTTGTTTAAGACTGTTTCAGGTTTATTGATTCTTGTGTTGCTGGATTCAGTGGACTTCCCATAACTGTCTGCATACTACAGGCCGACTAAAGCAGCTATTGTATGCTGCCACCTCTACCACTTTGGGGGATTCTCACAGTTTTTACACCAAGTTCTGTGTTGCTTAGCAGAGAGGGTCAGACGTCAAAACTATGACTCCACCTGCTAGTTTGTGCCGATGTGCAAGATATCAGTAATATCTGGGGTGTGTGTTTTGGCTTCACTTTTATGCATTGGCATGTTGTCCATCTTTCAGTCCATTCTAAGTGGTGCAACTTGTAACCCCATTTGTAGATGGTTTGTTTTCTATACAAGTTACGTCTAAAACTTGTTTGTGGTTCTTATTTTCAAGTGTTTACTAATTCATGCCCCTCAGTTCTCTACACTCTGGCCACTGCTTTTTAGCTTATGTTGTTAAGCTGTGAACACTTAACCATTAGATTTGTTTTTGCAGCCAACTGGGGAATGTTGGGCCAATCTGTCTCTTCATGGCGTTTCATTTCTGGCTCTGGCTGCTGAAAACACACCCCTCTGATTAACAGTCGGCCACTATCTTCTGGCTGTCTACCATTCGAGCAGGTAATCGCAATAAAAAAACAGTAAAAGTGAATGAGCTGAGAGGTGCTTTCAGCTCTCTGTTGGTTTATCACTGCGATAAATAAAGCAAGTTGTATCGTGAATGAAGTAGGTATAAAATAATCACTTGGATGTGCTTTAAAAAAATCTACAGCTTGGATGTTGATGAAACTATTCCTGAAAATCAGTAAATCAGTATCTAGTTCATGCTTGAGCTTAAAAAATGCTGCCCATTATTACTGAATACTATAACTGAACTGTTAGTTTAATTGCTGGAGCAGATCTGTCACTTTTGATACCTGGAAAAACATGATTAAAAACCCGATCTGGACGACTCTAAAGTGAACCCTTTTAGCCTGTAATCCCATTTAGCCATACATGTATGGATACAGGACAATCCACATGCACAGTGCTAATTATGGGCAAATGGAAGAGGATATATTGAAAATTATTCAAGAATATAATAAAGAAATAGTGGAACGAGGGTGAGCTTAGAATAAACATTATTAGCCTCTAATGTGATGAGACGTAAAACGTGTTATAGTAAAGATTTAAGGCACAAAGAAAATATTCTCAAGTAAAAAATACAGTCAGCAATAATAAAAAAAACAAAGCAGTTCTTTCAGATATGAATGGCTGTTCCTCTGAGCTCCGGTTCATTTTGGAGAGCTATCCGTGGTGCTGAATTGGCCCTCACTCTCCATTGTTTGTGTGGTGTAATCTGTGAGCAGCCTACTGTAGCACAAAAAAGCAGGGTCAGCCGTGCATTCGGTTATTATTAGCATGGGAGCGGCTGGGCAGTAGTTAGTTTCATCATAAGCAGACATGCAGAGAAAGAGAGAAAGAGAGAAACTGGAGAGGCTGGGGGGAGAGTAGAGCTCATAGCAACACACAGGGACAAGCTGGATAAAATTAAAAAGATTTATTCCAACAACTTTGAACTATAATCCTTCATGTATACTCAAAAAAGTACAAAAGAACCTCAAGTACATTAAAGTATTATAAATCACATTGAAAACCAAGACACAGTGTGTGTTATATATATGTATATAGATTCAAATATCAACTCCAAGCAAATACTTTGACCTCATGTAATCTAGACATATCCACTTATTAGCAAACATGAATATTTCGCAAATACAGATTCACTTGATTTCCACTTACGTCTTTAGCAAGTTTTCAGACACTTTTTTGTTGATAACACCAATGCATGCGAGCAGAGAGAGACAGTAAGGCGGGGCAGGCAGAGGTGAGGTGAGGTGAGGTGAGGGGGGTTTGGGGGATTTTGGGGGGGAAAACAGGAGAGGAGGCGATGAAGGAGCAAGAGTTCATTGGCCAAAAGACCAAGGCAGGGCATCAGTAGAGAGGAGAGTCAGTCATTAGTTGGTCCAAGCCAGAGGTTTTAGTCCAGCATTAGAGGCAGGTGGAGGAAGGAAAGGAGGCAGCGGCGCCACTATGTGATCAGCGTTGGCATGGCGGCCTTGTAAACAGACTATTGTGCTTCTCAAGTTGTGTCTTTGAATTAACCTTGTGCTTAAATTTGATTTTAGAGTCTGATTGGACTGTTTAAAGATTGTGTGCACGTTACTCTTTGTAAAAACTGTTTGCCTTTCTTCGTGTCTCATTATTAGTGTGTTTTTAGACTTTGGGTCTCCCGCTGCACACTTAATCTAGGTGGAGTTATTATACCAAGTTGTTCTGGAGCATGTTTACCTCAGCGTTCTCCTCTGTGTTGTTCGGAGTGTGGGCCACAGAGGTGGGACGGTTGTTCTCATGTTTGGGGGAGTGTGAGTTGAGGATGTTCATGGAGCCTTCTTCCTTGGGTTGAGGGGACTTCGCAGGGTCGGCCTGTTTGTGGGGCTCATCCTGTGGAGAGGAATGTCTCAGATTTACAGACTTGTTTTTTTATATATAGATAGTACATACTCTTCATTTTAAAGGGATATCTCAGTTGTTCTAACCACAATGGATACTGGCCAGCTCTGCCCCTTTAATGGGAAATCACAGAAAGAAGCAGGACACTGGGTAAAGTATAGTTTTGGAAAAATATGGCCGACTCTGCCACATACTTAGATCATTTTGAGTGATAAACCTGAATTAATTCCTAACTACAAGTAAAAATATCGACATGCTTTTCTTTTTACTGTAAAACTTTGTGAAAAAAGAACAACTTTCACTGGTGAGATTGTTTCATTTTCCACAAACCAAGCAGAGGTCCACACTCCTTCATTACAAAGCATTTGTGTGTCTGCAGCTGAGTCCTTTTCCGCAGAGTTACAAAAAAACTCACATTTTATCAGTAAATTGTACATTTTAGACCAGATCAGTGGATCCACCTGCATGCAGAAGAGCACGTCTATGTGTTGTGTCTGCAGGTAGCCCAGAAAAATTGGCCTTTCTCTAGGGGAAGTAAAGTGTTGAAAACAATCTGAGTACAGCACACACTTAAATCAAGAAAAGTGCTTGGGTCAGAATAAATGGTATAAACGGTAGCATACCTAGAATCCTGTTTCTGAGGTCTGGGTCTGAGCTGATCTGTATCCAACTAGTGAGATGAAATTCAAACAACCTCTCTTTTGAAATAGTGAAATATCCCTTTAATGTGTTTGGGTTTAGTAAGCCACAAACAGTTTCTTCACACTTTCAGAGATGAAATTCATCATTTTCAGTAAACTGACTAGCATAAAATAAGCTGCTCTGCATGGTTACACGTATAGCTTTTGTTCTAGGGTCACTGCATAGGCCCATCCTGGACCTACATGGTCAGGTCTTCATCTTATTAACAAATCATCCTCAGCATTTAAGAAAAAGAAAATGGGGCCGCTGACATTTACAAAACTGTACTGCAGCCAACATGTCTGCAGGGGCTTTTTAGCCTCTTGGCCTGGCATTTGAAGCACCCAGAAGTCAGTGTCACTCAACTATAACCACTGCAAAGAAATACCAGCAGAGCGCAGTTAAGGCAGTGAAGTCACAATGTTTTTATTTGATTCAGCGCTATGAAAACTAATATTCAAGGAAACATCTTTGTGATTGCAGAGTGCAGAGCTATTGTGTCTGTGCACATGTGCATGTGTCCACTTTTAAATGTTCAATCTATTGATCGATTAGTTCATTAGAGAAATGAAGGTCATGGGCACAGCGGGCAGGAAGTAGGGCACCATTGATCTGCAGCACTGGCGACTCACGGACAACTCTAGCTAAGTGCTTTTTTGAACACAGGATTTCGAAACTACAAAACTCTGTCACGAGAGCAATTACCCTCCTGGATCTCCTGGACCTTAAAGGGTTAATCTCTGTTGGGTTAATATGATCCAGATTAGAATATAAACCAGGCATCAGTAGCCCCATATGTGGGCTTAGTAACCCAGCAGACTAGTATGAGTGATGAATACCAGAGAGAGGCACACATAAATCTCCCCACAAACCCAGCCCCCCAACACAAACAGACACAGATAAAAAATAATGCATACACATTTATATTCAAGGACACACACACACACGCATGCTGCTACAGAATGAAATTCACTTCATAGAAGCACTACACATATAACCTTCAGGAGGGTAGTAACAGGGAAACCTGCTGCACAGGGACCCTAAAATGGCTGTGTTGGCAAAAGCAGTCGAAACAAAATGGAGGCCAAGTTTCTCATTTAGCTTTTCAGGAAGCTGCACAGGCACAGGTAAGAGAGGCAGCAAATACAGAAGGGAAAAACTGGAAGCTTTGCAAGAGGCAATCAATCAATTTGCATACAGCTGATATGCAATCAAATACAGTGAGAGTAATTAGAGGTGAAGTTAAAAGCAGAAAGGAGAGCAGCATCTGGTGACTAGAGGGGTGAATTTAAAGCGAGGCAAAAGGAGGGGAGCCGCTGCGGACGCTTTGAACATTTCCACTCTGCTTACCTGGAAGTGGTTATAAGGGTTTCTGGGTTTATAATCCCAGGTATAGCCGGCTGCTGGTGGCCTCTGAGGGAATTGGTGTGTGTGAAAAGCATTAAACCCACAACTTTAGGCGGATATTTCTATCAGAGGTTATGGGTTTAACAGGGGAAGAGGGTGAGCTTATGTGTGGAAAAAATACAAATAGATATAATTCAAATCACTTTAGGAGCTGGTAGAGGGTACAAATGTAAAGGACACCATGAACAAACAGGAGAAAAGGTTTAGGTTAAAGTAGACAAGAGACAAGATACTGTACATGCAGGAAAGACTGAACTACAAAGGACAAACAAAGACTGAGAAAGGAGAGCACACATGAGGAGAGTTGGGGCGTACCTGACAGATAATGTTGTCATAGTACGCCAGGTTGTGTGTGTGAGCTTGAGGAGCAGGCGGAGGGGTGTCACACAGTTTCCTTACATTTGGCTGTGAACCGTCGGCTGTTGTGGAAACAGAAAGGCCATCCGTCTGTGGCTCGCTGCTCTGTGGGCGGAACTTACTGTAGGAGGACAAAGAGACAGAGAAAGACAGAGATGTATCCAGTGTTTGTTTTCATACTGTGATTTTTGTATCTGCTATGTCAGTATGTAAGGAAGATACAAAGGCACGAATACAAGATGAACAAACACTAATAAAATGGCACTTAGGTTACTCTCTATGTATTGATTTTTTACATATGAATTGTTATGTCTATTGTGTTAAAAACATGTGAAGTAAATCTTAATATGTGTAACTTTTTAGTCAAAGAAAATGTATCTACAGAGAAAATACATTGAGTCTAACCATTTATTAACTGTAACCTGTGGTGTTTGATCATATCTTTTTTTCCCCCTCTTTTGTTGTCTTAATTCAATCATATTGTAAAAGTTCACACCATATCATAGCTGATTCTAATGTAATGATATCAAAGTTGACCCCACTATAATAATATACAATGCATAACATTGTATCTTATTGTATTATTGGTTATATTGTATTGAATCCTGTAATTGTAATTGTAATAAATATTGCATTGAGTCATATCATTACATATCTAATTTTATTGTATCACGTCATATCTTATTGTAACGTATCATGTCCTATCGTATTAGATTGTAAGAAAAATATGATCCTACTATATGATATAAAATATTGTGTCACATTGTTTTGAGTCATAACATATCATACTGTATCCTACTGTATTATACCATAATGTATCCAATTGTATCGTGATGTATCATAATGTAATATATCGTATTCAGTTGTAATGTAATGTGTCATATCTGATCCTTCTGTATCACAGTGTGTCATATTGTATTGAGTTGAAATACTGTATATCATACTACATATCATACATATCTTACTGAACTGTATCCTATCCTATCCAATCAAATCATATCATATCATATCACTAGCTATGTGAGCATGTAATGCTATATCATATATGTCGCATCAAACTGCATCTTTTTGAATCGTACCCCACTCTATGATATCATATGATACTGTATCCTAGCTTATCGTATTGTATTATACTTAGTTGTATCTTATCATCCCATATCATATCATATAGTATCCTACACTATACTGTCTTATGCTATTGTATTGTACTTTATAACACTGTGTTGTAAAGAATTGTATTCCTCTATAGGGTGTCCCATCACCTCATATCATATATCTATGTTGCCTTGTGTTGTGTCATATTGTATGGTATCATGTTATATTGTATTTCACCTTTTTAGCCTTCGTGTATCAAGGTGTATCATGGTCTATTGTGTTGAATTATTTGCTATGATATGGTACAGAACTTTATGCTATCTCATTAAATTGGAGTGTATTCTCTTATACCAATTATTAAGTATTGTATGGCATCATATTGATTAGTCTTATATTGCTTAAGGTCTGGTTGACACACAAATCAAATTCAAAACACTTCATCGCTATTTCAGAACATGAATAACTGAGTTGGCGATAGTAATCAAACAGGCTTCCATTTAATAGATGTCCCCTGCTAATGCTCCACATTTCTACATCCCTGTGTGGCTCCTGTCTCTCCCTCTCCTGTTGTCTCTGTGCTCATATCGTAAGCATTCTTAACAGCCATGAAGTTGTAGAGCCTTCCAGGAGTAAGCCTGACACAGATATTGTCACATCCCTCAACACCCAGACAGTGGTGTAATTCACAATGCATATTTTTACTCTCTCACCTCCCAATCAGACCCACACACACACCTGCGTTTGCGAAGGCGTTTGTTCTCGTTCTTGAGTCGGTGCAGCCTCTTGGCAAAGCACACTATGATCATGAAGAGGAGGATAAGCACCACAGAGGACACGCCCACCACCACGCACAACACCTGGAACTCTGTCACCATCCAATCACAGCGGGTGCCTTTGTTCCAGATGTAGTCCTGCACGTTGCACCTGGAAAAACGGCAAAAATAGTCAGCTTGATTGCCCCTATATTAGTTGGTGAAGTGGTCAGAAAAACATACCTGCGACCAAAAAATCAATCAGTTCAAGTGAATGCAAATGCTGAACCCCTGTGTATTTGAAATATTTATAGCGGCAGCATGTGAGCCAGAGCAAAGGGTGTAAAATGTTGCTTTGAACTGATGACATGTGTCCCGAGGTCTGCAGCAAAGCGGGGATTCGGCCTGCAGCCTAGCTCTTAATGAGATCAAAGGATCAGGATACGTGCGAGCATATGTGTGTGTCTTTGCCATATTCTTGTCGTTTTCTGTGAAATCACATGCATGTGTTTGAAGTGAACTCCAATGACTCAGCAGGCCTGTGTGTAAATGTTTGTGTGTTTATGCTATTACTCAGCAGGTATGCCGGCATGAGCAACAGTTCACCTCTAAGCTTACAGCGAGGCTGCAGGACAGGACAGATGGTGCTATCCAGGCGTGGTTTGCGTGCACAAGCGTGTGCAGGTATGAATGTGTGTGTGCATGCACGAGGAGTGTGTGTGTTTAGTAACCCGTGAGTCCTTCCCTGACCTTATGGCATTGTCATTTTCTTTTTGCTTCTTTGTGTGTCTCTACATCAGCTGTCACTGCACACCCTTTCCCCCCGCCTCCAAAACTGAGCTAATCCTTTGGCGACCCCACTGTGATCTTGACGAACCCTCATGACACATTAAGCCAACTCTCTATCTCTGTGCGTGTGTGTTTCCTGTGTGTGTGTATGCCTCTCAGAAGTGTCCTAAATCTCTTCTTTTGTGTTGGAGAGGGAGCATATTGGAAATCATCCCATCAAGATGATTAAAAAGGGGGGATGTTCTGGTGCCTTAGAACTCCCTGAAATACCCCTGATGTGGGGGTAGTGGCCTGGTCTGATTATCAGAGCTGATATTTGGCATTTGGATTATTATCTGTATCAGCCTCTCCTTTTATAAATGGCCCATGTAGTAATCCATTAACACCATGTCTCTTCCTCTGGGTCTGTTTTTCTGCATCACTGTCTCCTTTAATGTCCTGCCCACAATAACATCTGACTGACTCACCATAAATCAAGTTTGGTATTTTCATTTTCTATTATCATTGTATAACAGTTCCAAATATGGGCTATCTGTCTCATAAAGTACCATTAATCAGTACTGCTATCGGCTCTGAAAAACCAATATCAGCCAACCCCTACTGTTGTCCCTTGCATACACTTGTCCCTTGATGGGTTCATAAGAACCAATGAGTCTGGTTCTTCTCAGGGTTTCTACCTGTTAGAGAAAGTTTGGTAACACTTTATATGAACCCACCTCTTATAATACATCATAACCACATTTATGAAGACTTACAAATACATCTATAAGGCTTTATAACACTTCTCTTGAGTGGTTATTATTATTCATAACAGCTTATAGCAATGCTGTGAAGTATTTTTGTCTGATACTTTACTTACAGCCACAAAAAACTGCTCGTAAGTTCTTATAAATGTATCACAAGAACATATAATTGTTAATCACCTGATTTAAAATGCCCTAATTTATGCTTTAACATGTTGTGGGTATTAAAAAGAAATTTTCCGAATCAGGAATCATAGAAATTATAACTTTTCTTAACAAATACAATGAGATCTTGATGAATCTTTATAACCAGGTAAAGTTTTAATCTGTTATTAAACTGAGAATTCAAAATAGCTTATTTCATCATATAATATTTGTGTTTTTCTTACCTGCAGAAAGCTCCCATTCCTGGTACCACAGTACACACCCCTCCATTGAAGCAGAAGTTGGGTTCAATGTCACACTGAGACACACACACTCCAGGCCCTGAGCGCACAAAACCCAGCCTGCAACCGTCTGCTCCCATGGCGCCGCCAAGACCTATACTATCACCATTGTTTATCCCTGGTCGAGAAGAAGCTGGCAAGGAGGGCTTGCTTTGAACCTTAGGACTCCCGTTGGGTTTTACATTATTAGGAACAGCAGGAGCTCCAGCCAAGAGTGGGTTCTCATCCTCCATGTCAGCTGGAGGTGATGGTGTGGGCTCAGGTTCTGGGGTCGCATCTAACGCAGAGAGGTCGTCATCAGGGGAAAGGTAGTCGTAAAAATCAGAGAGTGTCCATGCAGTAGGGTCTCCGCCTTTTTGCTTCTGAGGTTTAGGGACTTTAGCCCAATCCAGAGCACCATCAGATGGGACAACATCCGGCGCTGGGCTGTGAAACTCCACTGTGATGACATCATCTGCCATAGGGTTTCCTGGTTGATCTGGACCCCCTCCAGCGGTGAGTTCCTCCCCTCCTGGTGTGTCCTCCTCTATGAAGTCTAAGTAGGTGTGTTTCTGAGGATGGTGGCGTTTGGTGGAGCTGAGTGGGAGTGTTGCCCCGAGTGTGAGCGCGGCTCCAATCAGGTGGTCTTTTTCTGCTGAGTCATCACTAAGAACCATCCTGGTGTTCAAGGCCTCCTTGTTGACAGATGATCTGTTATGGTGGTGATGATGCCTGCCGAGGGAATGTCTCCCTGTTAGCCGGACACAAAAAGATATTAAACAGATTACCAAAAAGGCTAGTCTGTCAGGGCTGCAACTTTTAAACAATGACTGTTTCTCTGAATGAGAGATGATGTTGGTTTAGTTTACAAGCTTTTAATGGCGCCAAGACTTTTTGTCTGATAGGCAGCGGGCAGTAATCTTGGGACCTATTCATTCTGAGTTAATAACAACACTCAATGGTGAACCACAGGGATCCATTTTATGTCCACTGCTTTTTTTTTGCAGATTGCCATGCACATTTTTATGCGGATGACACAACTTTGTGTCATGGCTAAGAACTGAGCTGATATCCACAGCAATGGTGCCCCCTTGCCATGCCATATAGCTCAAATGTTGATAACCAGAGTCTAAACCAGAGATATTCAGACTTAAATGCCACCATCCAGACAGACTTGGACCTGGCCTTGGAGGTCACTAAAACTCAATGAGTCCAACACCTCCAACACCTCACAGAAATAGCAGTCCTCTGTTATGAGCTCTCAAGCCACTGAAGACATCAATCAGCTGTTTTTATATGCAAGGTATCTCTCATCAGCTGCAAAGAGACTTAAATATGTAAAAATTGATTGATCCCCTTTGTGGCCTAATCTTATTGTCAACACTACAACAATGACAGAGCACACTGGGATTTCCTCAGTAATCTTGTGCAAATGTAGAGTATAAAAAATGATAAACAAAAGCTTTAATACACACATACAACATGCTTCTGTTGTGGATTGGAGCTTATCCCCATGTACTGGTGCTGTTTTGTTTAATAAACACTGTGGCCCAAGGATGAGACGTGAATAATTTAAACTGATCCCTATAGTATTCTGCAGAGATGCCTTCAGGCAGTACAGGCTCGCTTCACCGTAGACTCCGACAAATTCAACAAACATGATTCAATAAAGATGTGCAGTTAGAAATTCATGTCTTTCCTATGAAGAACTGGGACCCCTCATTGTAAGAAACTAAATGATTAATTATCAGAGAAGTCAGAACAAGAGCTGAAGACTGCCGTGTAATCAGACCGTGGTGATTCAGGATTAGGCACATTGAGTGATTGACTAATGTGCTCTAGTGACCAAGACTGGGTGAGGATTAGATTAGGATTTAGAGCTATAGGTTAGGATGGCTGCTCAGGCACTTCTCCTATGCTTCACAGAGTCACAGAGGCAGAGATAGAGAAGGAGAGCGGCGGGACTATCAGTTATTTTAAGTGTCGAGCAAATCATTACACCCGTTTATATCTTTGGAGTGTGGCTTTCTCAAGAAGTGGATATTAATCAAGATATTCTGTGCAGAGATAGGGTGTTGAATTTTTTAGATATTAATCAATACAATTTTGCTCTCGGTGAATGTGAAGGCTAAAAGAAAGAAAGAACCTGCTGTTGCAGTCTTTTGGGAACATTTTCTTGCACTTGAGTTAATGTTCCCACAGTTTACTGAACTTTAAGAACTCATTTCAACACACTTTTCCACTGACCAAATACTTGGCCGGTCAGCGTCTCCCCCACTGCCTCTCTCGACTCTCTGTGTCCAATGAGATCACTGCATTCAGTGTCTGGCAGGTCCATTCACAGCTAATACCAAAACCATCCGAACGTGCTCCGAGTCACAAAGACTAGCGGTGGCAGAGGAACCAAGAGATCCACCTCTCATACACACACAACACACGCACACACACACTCCTAGTTGCCATGGTGAGATGTAAAGAGGTGCCATGTTGAAAGGAGTGGAGCGAGGGAGTTGCAATGGAAACAGAGAATCCAGTGTTTCGCTTTCTCGCTCTCTTGTTTTTCAATCAATTAGCCTGCCAGTCACTAAGTGTTGATATGCCAACTCCATCTCTGGGAAAAACGGCGGTGGAATGAAAACTTCACAGTATGGGAGAGAGATTGACATACCCCAACAAGTTTAAACTGATTGAGACTGATTCAAATTTCATTTTAAAAAAAGGTCCAATCTGCCAATTTGTTTCCTGTTGAGATTTAGATGCAGCATCCTGTTAGCAGCTGGCGATGTCATAGTGATTACAAGTGCAAAAGGGAACATGAAGAGATTACAGGAGCAAGACGAGCAAACTGACTGCACGAGCCCCTGCCCGCCCCGGCAACTTGGTTTCCCTCTTAGAAATGGTGAGATTTGAGACTTGAACTGAAGCTCACTGTGTGTCTCACCTCTGGCATCATGCTGAGTTGTCACCATGGTAACAAGTTTTACCTGAGGTCACTGTGATTGGCTAGACTGAAGGATCCCAGCTGTCTTAACTGAACACTTACAAACTTAAACCTGTTTGCTGGCATATAAATTGTTCATCAGAGAGATTCTTGTTTCATCACTGCAGACATTTAAATCATTTTAATTTGAGCTGCCACACCCGCCCATCTTACATGTCTATAAATAGTCCTTTTCCTCCACCATTGTGCATCGGAGGGAGTCGGTGAGATGCTGATGATCTGATCACTTGTGACAGATCATGAGATTTCTGGGGCTACAGGGCAGATGGACCTCACAGTATGCATCCGCTCAGGCAGCGGGCTCACAGACCACAAATACACACTCATATGTACACCGAGCACCCTGGAGCCTGGATATAATCCATGCTGCTCTACACGGCCCTCAGAAACACGTTAGTATGGGTGTGTTGATTGATTGGATTTATCAAGAGCTGAAAATGATTCAGCAAATAACTTTCAGCTGTATGAAATAATCCTTCATACATGAGTAATTGCAAAGAGGCCACGAGGACTAGAGGGTGACCGATTACAGTTTTTCAGAGGCCGATGATGAGAAAGCAGGTCAGCCAATGGCCGATAGATAAGGCCATTGGGATTTTTTGGGCATTTGACAAAACACAACACTTAAATACTACCAACAGATAAAAATAATAAATTGCTAAACTTGAGAAAATATTAAATTAAATGTAGATGGAAAATTGGGGTTGATGGGGGATGAGAAAGAAGAGTTATCATTTTGAAAAGATGATAGTGGTATCCACCTTGTGGGGGCCGATGTTGATATGATGATGATTATGTCAAAATGCCATAAACTGACTGATTATTTGTCCAAGTAATGAATTAATCTATCCCTGTTGAGGATATTTCGATGGGCATGATTCCCTATTTTCTGGCATATTATAGGGGGAAAGAAATTCATAATGGAAAATAATTCACAATAAAGCCCTTAATTTTAACCTCATTAGTTAAGTGGTGCTTATTGACCAAAAACACCAGGAGCTTTTGGTTCCAGGGACTTCTCTTTAAGGAACTAAATGGTTCCTGGGCTCAGCTGAATGATGCAAATAAGGCCAATGACATCTAGGGACGGTATCAGGAAATTAAGTTACTTGCATGGCTCTTTATTTGAATCTCTGCTGATTTTATTATTTATTTTTTTTTATAAATACACTGTCAAGAATCATGTCAGCAGCAGATTAGCTTTTGATTATTTAATCTTTGCTTCCTGTCTTTTATGGGTGAATCGACGACTCCTCGGGTCCTGCCTAAGAGAGTCCCTTGGCCACTGGAAAGTAGTACTCCCTAAACAGGGGGTTTTAAGGGGGGTAGCAAAATTGAGACCCCAGTTCCCGTGATGGAAACCCACCTAACACCATGAACCTGCAAAACTTTGCGTGAGCTGCAGCAGTAAAGTTGGCTTGCTGAAAATGACGTCATCTTAGTCACCAAGATTCATTGTAGTCTCGTAAAAGCGAATTTAAGGCTGTATTTTCATTAATTTTTCCTTTTTAGCAGTAGAAAGATACATTTTCTCGCCTTTTCCTTCGTCTGCTCCCCTCTCCCCTGGTAAAATGAATGAAGATAAACCTATACCTCGCTCTTAATGAATTAGCAGCCGTGCACGTGCTTTTAAGTGTGAGAGACGGGATATCAGGCTTATAGCCTATTTACCGGTCAATATGTCACTGTGTTAACGCCTGGTTACACATTGAGGGCGAGAGATGCGACGAATTAGGGTGGGGGGCAGTTAAAAACAGTGGCGGCGCGTGCCCACGTGAACCCTGGCGACCCTCTATGTGCACGAGCCACCCTGTTGCTGGGCAGCGACGGCAGCGCTCAAATCAACATTACCCATTATTTCCATATTTCTCCTACTCGTCTACTGCTAGTGCGGGTTCATTATTCCCACGGTGCTTGTTTTAAGGGACGGACCGTAAACGAGAAGGCGAGGGGAGGGTGAGGTGAAGCCGTCCCAGTTGTCTCGGGCATCCCTATGAATGTCTGGAGGAATTCAATCCTTTCAGCGGCATGAATAGGTCTCCTGTAGCCCGGCCACGGTGCACCTAATCCCGCCTTTGTCTGGGCCACGCACCGCGGCGGCGAGACGCAGCTGCAGGACTTACTGTCATACATCTGTTTCTCCTTGTGATCACCCACAGACACATCTTTTTTCATAAAGCGGACACACAATGCCTAAGCTTATAACATTGAACAAGTCAGTGCCCTTTGCATTAAATACGACCAGACTGGAGAGTGGGCCTATTTTTTTCTCTCCCACAATATGAGATTGAATCCTGGTTACTTTAAAGTGTCATCAATGACCAATAGCACTCAGCAAAGGAAGGCAGACATGAGACGTCATACTATAGTATCTGTCAATCAGCCTAGCAGTTGATTGACAGTCTTTGTAATGTAATTCAATTTTAAAGTATTGGCTCAGTTACACTTTGAAATGCCAAAATGCGATTAATTATCAAGGATTTGGAGTAAATGAGTCCATGCAGAGAAGAATAGGCTGGAATCAGCAAAATCACTGCCCAGCAGGTCCCTATCAATAGGCTTAGAAACGCTCAGTGTTCCCTCAGAAAAGATCAGAGCTAATCGATCATCAATGCATTTCTAATGGCAGTTGCATCTCCATGTTGGACATTTGCCATTTTTCACAGAGCTTACCAATGCAGGTGTGATGCGTTTCACGCACGTGCGCGCTTACTGGCACTAACACACACACACACCCTCACACACACTCAGGCACAGGGTGGGACTCCGGTATGGTGAAGCGGACTTACCGTGAGCATTGAGGGGGACGATGACCAGTGAGATGGTCAGCAGCACCTGCCAGGTCCCCAGACGTCTGTCTGCGCGCGCCATAGTGTGAGCTCTCCCTTTGAAAAGCAAATGCAAACTGTGTGATCCGGTCCCTCGATGTACCGCTCAGATTGTGGGGCTGAATGCGATAATCCTCGCTCCAAAAGTTCAGATCTCGCCGGTTTTGTCCATGTCCCCGTTATCCTCCTGTGAACCGTCTAACAGCTCGGGTTCGCTTCCATCGCACCGCGCGGGTCGCCTCTCCTCCACACCTCTCAACGCGCGCGTGTCCCTCTGCGCTTTGGGGGTCCGTCGACCGGCAGCACAAGCAGCAACGCGAGGGGCTGTAGTAGTAATGCGCGTGACCTGCGGTGGGCTTCTGCGGACGAGGTTTTTTAATGAGCCGGGTTCATCACTGCCTGCCTCTCTGCCTCTGTGCATGGAGTCTGATAAGCCTTTCTCTCTGGAAAGGAGCGGCAAAGCAGAGCACGGCGCGCGCGCACAGTGCGTTCGAGAGTCAAAGTGCCACCACACGCACACTCACTGGGACACACACGCACACTAGAACACTGTCGAGTAAATGCTCATCAGTGGACAGCCTGAGCTTATAGGGTAGCTGCTGTAGAATGAGGCTGAGAGAGGGATTTAAACAGCGTCTGTTCTCACTACAAGTCAATATGCTCCATTTTACACCCCAGCTGATGTGTGTGCACACTATGTCAAAGCGTCTCTCTCCCTCTCTCTCTCTGGGTGGTGTTTATGTGTCAGTGGGTTATTTGGGTGCACGTGCCTCCCATCAGCAGAGGTGTGTGTATGTGCGTCTGTGTTGGTTTGCACAGGATGGATAATCCTCTTACCGTTATGTTGTGATATAGGCTGAAGACAATAGCATCTGCTTGATGTGACCTCTCAGCCCACACACAGTCTGACCAACGAAGCCTCATCTCTATTACATTCAGCCGATTAATCGAGTGATAAATAGCATTGTAACCTCACTGGACTCATATTGGCTTCACCCTCAAGACCAATATCAGCCTCATCTTTTTAAAATTGAAAACACATTTGGCAGCATCTCAAATATAAGACAGTCACTGGCAAGTGTTTGATATTAACTCTATTACAATATTAAGATTATTTCTTTTTTTTTTTAAATGATATTAATTTTTCTTTCTGTCTAATTTTAGAGTTTGACAGAAACCAAATGTCCCTTGAGGCGATGTTTCACTAAGTATTTTTCTGTCTCCGTTCATTAAAACAAGTTTATTGGTGTTAATATATTATAAATAAACAAAAGTATGATGTCGGCATTATACATCTGCAAAGCTATTGAAACACTGATATCGGTGGATGTGTTTTGGTGAGAATTGATTTGGGAAAACATAAGATTTTTGTTATTGAATCAGTGCAAATAAGAGACATCAGGGACGTGACAGCAGCTGTTGGAGGCTGTATGGGATAAATGATGCCAGCCTCAATCATGTTTTCTGGAATTGCCCTGTAAATGTGCTTTATTGGCAGGAAATACTGGACTGAGCGTCTCATAAAAAGCAGCACAGTATATATATGGGTGGTGTTTTATTTGGTAGATGGAATGTAAGAAACTGGTATGAGCCAAAAAGCTGTCACAAGGAAATGACTAAAATCTGACCCACCCATGACTTATGATGTGATAGTATGATCTATGAAATATGGAATGGAAAGACAGTAATCTTACTCAGAGTCAAAGGGATTTGGACCAAGTGGACGTAATATGTCAAATCTATAGGTCCAGATGTTGTCGGAGTACATGAATGAGATTAAAGTGTCAGTTGTTGTTTTTATCTTGTATCCAAAAGTTTGCTCTGTTTATTTTTATTGATTTTTACCTCATTTTCCCTTTTCTTTTACCCCCTCCTAGATGGATATAAATGACAGCATATAAAATGCAATTTTCATTCAATCAATCTTCACTTAAATAGTGCCGATTCACAGCTAATGTAATCTCAGGAGGTCTAGACCTCATTCTTTATAATATTAACAGATACTCAAGTGAAGATGGGATCAGATTGAACTCCATCTTGTAAGATCAGACCCACTCCTATCCCATCTTCAACCACTTGAGTGAAACACTTTGCAGCATTTAGCAAGTTAGAGTGGAGAGGAAGAATTTCCTTTAACAGGCAGAAACTTTGAGTAGACCCAGACTCATGTTAGATCAGTGGTTCTCAATCCAGTCCTCTAGCCCCCTCTGCCCTGCATGTTTTGGATGTTTCCCTGCTCCAACACACCTGATTCAAATGATCAGTTTGTTATCAAGCTCTGTAATGGTTTAATAACGAGCTGATCATTTGAATCAGGTGTGTTGGAGCAGGGAAACATCCAAAACATGCAGGACAGGGGGGCTCGAGGACTGGACTTGAGAACCACTGTGTTAGATAGTTACTGCTGAGACTGAGCTGGGTTTAGAGAAGGGAGAGAGGGAGATGGAGAAAGAAATGAATGAACGCTAAGTGAGTAATGGGGTTAGAATCAGAACAGTTAAGGCAGAAAAAGTAAAACTAGGGCCCCGTTGGGGCACTGGCGGGCCCGAGCCGTGTCGCGCCACCCCCAGCGCGACCGCCTACCCCTCCCGATTGCGTCACACTCAAGGTCCAAAGATGGTGTGCGCACTTGTCTGTGGTCATTTACCATTATAATGAATGGGAGGCGCAGTTTCTACCAAAACGCTCGCTGCAGACAAACTCCATGTCCTTTTTGAAAAAAGTCTGGACCATGAGTGAGGGCACAAACACAGCTAGTATATATCCAAATGGCAAGTTGCTCCTCCTTTCGGTTTTGCCGAGAGAGCGATGCGTTTGAGCCATTGAGCGATGGGCAGGAAAAACTTGACTTTTTCTCCTGCCATGGGGGGGCGCTCTTTTGGGGAGTAAAAATTCCTTCACAAATGTGTTGATGGCTGGACATTGCATCATCCTAGAGAACTTGGAGGCCAGTGAGGACAAAAATAAAAAGTTATAAGACTTTTAAGACTGTGGATTTCTGGGTTATCTTTGGCGCCCCCTAGAACGTAAACCGTGGGGTGCAGCGTCATGATTTGTACAACTTTGAATGGACATGGGGTGTAGATTGACCTGAGCAAATTTGAAGCCGATGGGACAAAAGCTTTAGGAGGAGTTAGCCACATTCCAATGTGTGCGGATCGGCAAAAAATGCAAAATAACCCATTAACCGTACATTGAACAGATACGCTTGCATTGACTTTTTTGTAGATCTTATTGAGATACATGTGTGTGTCAAATTTTGTGTCATTTTGACAAAGCGTAAAGGCGTGACAGTCAACAATGTGTATTTTCGCCTTAGGAGACAAGAAAAAATGGACTTTTTTCTCCTGCCATGGGGGGGCGCTCATTGGCGAGTAAAAATTCCTTCACAAATGTGTTGATGGCTGGACATTGCATCATCCTAGAGAACTTGGAGGCCAGTGAGGACAAAAATAAAACGTTATAAGACTTTTAAGACTGTGGATATTTGGGTTATCTTTGGTGCCCCCTAGAACGTAAACCGTGGGGTGCAGCATCATGATTTGTACAACTTTTAATGGCCATGGGGTGTAGATTGGCCTGAGCAAATTTGGTGCCGGTGGAACGAAAGCCTTCGGAGGAGTTAGCGAAATTCCAATGTGTGCGGATCGGCAAAAAATGCGAAATAACCCTTTAACCGTACATTTGACAGATACGCCCGCACTGACTTTTTTGTAGATCTTATTGAGATACATGTTTGTGTCAAATTTTGTGTCATTTTGACAAAGCGTAAAGGTGTGACAGTCAATAGTGTGAATTTTCGCCTTAGGAGACAAGAAAAAATGGACTTTTTTCTCCTGCCATGGGGGGCGCTCTTTTGGCGAGTAAAAATTCCTTCACAAATGTGTTGATGGCTGGACATTGCATCATCCTAGAAAACTTGGAGGCCAGTGAGGACAGAAATAAAAAGTTAAGACTTGTAAGAATGTGGATTTTTGGGTTATCTTTGGCGCCCCCTACAACGTAAACCGTGGGGTGCAGCGTCATGATTTGTACAACTTTGAATGGCCATGGGGTGTAGATTGGCCTGAGCAAATTTGGTGCCGGTGGAACCAAAGCTTTAGGAGGAGTTAGCCACATTCCAATGTGTGTGAATCAACCAAAAATGCGAAATAGCCCTTTAACCGTACATTTTGCAGACACGTGCGCATTGACTTTTTCGTAGATCTTATTGAGATACACGTGATTATCAAATTTTGTTTCAATATGACAAAGCGTACAGGCGTGACACTCAACAATGTGTATTTTCACCTTATAGGACAAGAAAAAATGGCCTTTTTTCTCCTGCCATGGGGGGGCGCTCTTTTGGGGAGTAAAAATTCCTTCACAAATATGTTGATGGCTGGACATTGCATCATCCTAGAAAACTTGGAGGCCAGTGAGGACAGAAATAAAAAGTTATAAGACTTGTAAGAATGTGGATTTTTGGGTTATCTTTGGCGCCCCCTACAACGTAAACCGTGGGGTGCAGCGTCATGATTTGTACAACTTTGAATGGCCATGGGGTGTAGATTGGCCTGAGCAAATTTGGTGCCGGTGGAACGAAAGCCTTCGGAGGAGTTAGCGAAATTCCAATGTGTGCGGATCGGCAAAAAATGCGAAATAGCCCTTTAAACGTACATTTGACAGATACGCCCGCACTGACTTTTTTGTAGATCTTATTGAGATACACGTGTGTGTCAAATTTTGTGTCATTTTGACAAAGCGTACAGGCGTGACACTCAATCATGTGAATTTTTCACCTTAGGGGGCGCTATGGAGCCATTTTGCATTTGATTGTTTGGGTGACTTCAGAATATCGAATTTTTCACCAGGCCCAGTCGTCCTGCCAAATTTCATGAGTTTTCACCAGTGGGAAGTGGGCCATTTTCCAGTTCAAAGGGGCAGAAAAATAATAAGAAGAAGACTAGGACCCCGTTGGGGCACTGGCGGGCCCGAGCCGTGTCGCGTCCCCCCCCAACGTGCTGCCTCCCCGTCCCATTTGTGTCCTCTGGCCATCGCCCTCTCTGGTAACGCCCATCACTGCAAAGACCCTTTTCCTTCATCGGCGTTTGCTGTTCTTCCTGCCAGTGCGTGTTGCTTTCACTTACACTTGCCACAGCCAGCCTCGTGAGTGCCTAGCCTATTGGATATCACTGTCACCTACACAGGACAGTCATTACCTTTCTATTAATACTTTGTGTTTTAATTTCACATTAATTTCCATATTGTATAAACGACTGGAAAAAACTTGAGCCCCTGCCCCTGTATAATCATGTGCATGTCTCTGTTCTAGCTCCAAGGTGAATCTTCACTGCTCATGTTCTTCTCAGAAGCACTCACCTCACTCCCCTCAGGTTACTGTACACATGCACCAACTGCCTGCTTCAGGTTTGGATGGAGCTTCATGGTTGTCTTTTGGAGAAATGAACAGTCAAGTTGTGTTTGAAATTTGATTTTTTTCAGGGGCAAAAGGAGCCTCTGCATTCTTGTCAAATATGTAAATAGCATGTTTTTGCAGGTGCTAAAAACCAGACTCTGAGTGTGTGTGTGTGTGTGTGTGCGTGTGTGTGTGTCTGTGTGTGCGTTCAAGTCACATTACATATTTAACCGGATGTAGCAGCAAGACGGAGCCTCGTTGACTCTCCGTTTCAACTTATCTCAAAAGTGAGGACCTCAAACTATACACCAGTTTTCAAATTGTGTTGA